CTTCCTCATTAAAGATTCCTAAAGAAAGTAATTTGTACTTGGATAAGAGGGAAGATCTCAGTTAAGATATATAAGCAAAATGTTAGAAATTAAATGGTTGATTTTCTCAGTGGAGGACGATAACCCATGAAATTCTTGAGAAGCCTGTACTGAAGTTTTTCCTATTCTGTCATGTGGGAAAGGGCATGAAAGAGTGAGATGACAGAGTTTTCTGGTAATACGAGGTTTGTGAGGGTAGTAAAAATGAATTTTAATTGCCAAGATTACGGGAGTATTCCTCAGTGCTGGTTGACATGGTGATAAAATGACCAATGAAGCTTAATGTTAATAATGAGGTGATACATGTGGGGAAAACAGTCCTAATTTAGATGCTCAGTGGTGAGTTCTGAAGAAACTATTCTCTCTCAGGAAAGAGATCTTGAAGTTGTGGTAAGTAATTTTCTGTAACCATAAGCTCAGTGTGCAGACACAGTCAAGCAAGTAAATAGAACAGTACGGATTAGTAGGAAAGGAGCATTAAAAATAGTGTAAAGGGTGTAGAAGTTAAAAGAATTATGCCACTCTTAATCCATGGTAGACATACCTTCAAAGCACTGAGGGCTGACCTGGCTTTCTAACCTGGAGAAGAGTACAATAGATAGAAAAAATAGAGAGGTGGACAAAAAGAAGGATTAAGTATAGTTTCTGTATAAAGAACATCAGGATAGATTAGGAGTCTTTAACTCAGAGGTCTATGAAAGCAGAAGGATATAGAGAAGAATGTGGTTGTTCACTTCCTCTCCCATTCAAAAAGTAGGTAAGCCAAGTTCTGCTGTGGTATTTTAGGTACAGACGTTTTGTCACTTTACATGAAGTCAGCACATTACTTGTATACTCTTTATACTGCAGCCAAGGATAATAAGCTTCTGAATGTTGAGCAGATATCTTCACTGTTCTCTGAGTAATGACTAGGAATAGCTAAACTTCTTTGTTCAGTATTGAATCTAGGGGAGAAAAGTGTCACTGGAAGAACACGGTGTTCACTACTGGCAGTGGGTGGAAGCTTGACCCATTATGGCTACTGGGAAGATGAATCTTGAAAACATACCAGCAAAAACGTTCATTGAAGTGAATTAGTAGTTGAAGTGGTGTGCAAAATCTGAAACTCCAGGAACCTTGCCTTTTATTTTTTAATGACCCGAGATCTTTGTTTTGTCAGCAGAGGAAATAAACTACTGCCCTTTCTTGGCTTTGCATAGCTCTTTACAAAGAAGCCAACTAATTGTTCCACTGAAAATCCAATGTTACTACAACATTAGCGTTCATCAGAAGCAGAAGGGTGAGACATCATATTTGCTTAATAATTCATGGTCTCAGAATTTGCCCATGAAGGCATCTCAGTTCTTATTTGTTGGAAGCCAAGCCATAAGAAAGTACTCATTACAAATACAATCATTTTCTGAATGAGATAAAGTACACTAATACTGGCTATGTAGTCATTATGTAATTCTAAAGACAAAAAAATCTATATAATGCAAGCAGAGCATAATTAGCTGGCTTCTAGTATTGCATGTACCTTGGTAGATGCAAGATTGTATTACTTTATCAAACAAGTCCCTCTGATTATTCTTTAAACTGAATGGAGATGTTAACACACTTTGGTATTATGCATGGATGTGGTGTTACCAAAACAAAAAGAAAAAAGCAGCAATGCACCAGTGAATTCCCTTTAATTGTGCATGTTATCCTGTCAACCTAAATTTAACTATTTCACATTATCAGGTTCTCACTTGTAAATTAACAGTATAAGGTTTGTTTATACTATCTTTCAAGAAGATGCCATCTTCCTACATCTCTTTAAGACATTTATGGATGAACAATGTTATGTTCAGAACAGTTCATATTTACCATGTCTGTTCCAATTTTGGATGTCTCTCCTCCTCATCCTCATAGCTGGTTTCTTAAAATCCTGAAATAGCCCTTAGTTGCCCCACAATTAAGTGATCTGCCTTTACCTCCCTGTTAAGGTGATCAAGTTTGTATCTAGAGGGACATTGTGTGCGGATCCCTCTGAATCTCAGAAGCATCTTGGGCAGATTGGACACGTTGGATAGCTACATTTTACCCAGGGGCTGAGTGTGCTACCTGAACAGGCATCCAATTCCTGCAGGCATATTCTTGAGGGTAGGAGGACCAAATGGGTTGTTTCAAGTTCTGCTGCCCTAGTCACTGGGCCCTCAAGGCTAGATTCTTATTTTCACTGGAATTGGTTTGTCACAGCAAGCAGCAGATGGCCAGGTGGAACAGGATGCTTTTTTTCCCTGGCCAAATACATACAGAGAGCACATTGGTGGTACTCCCAACGTATAAAGAATAAATGAAAGATCTGCACTACTCCCAGACAAAGCAAGAGGAAAACAAGTGGGCCACTTCTTTCCTCTTTTCTCTGTTAAATAGAAGAGTGCAATAGAAAAGTACAAGAACAGTTGGCTTCTTCCTAGTCACACCTGGAGACCATTGTTCAAACAGATCACTGAGGTGGTGTGCAGGAGAAGTCTTCCTAACGAAAATTATTGAAAGGTGAGCCAAATACATTTCCCTCATTTACATATAAAAGTTAGCCACAGCTGCTTCTGCAACAACAGCAGAAGTTTCATCAAGAATGAAAAGAGGACTGGAAGGAGAAAGCAGATAAACATACAGAGAACAGAAGCAGTAAAATAGGAAAAATGGGTTTCTGGAGATGTCTATTATAAAGAATTTTGCAGTTTAACTTTTTCAGTAGGAGTTGATCTCAATAGTCATAAAAATACCATGCAATTGCAGTTCTATAATTTTTTTATATACTAAAGTTCCTTTTCGTTCAAATAATGTGTGAGCTTTATGCTTAATTTTACCTTATTTTTCTTGATCACAGTTTCCCAGCATCTTTTTCATTCTGGAGAACCTAGTATTTAGAACTGGGTGTGTTTTTAAAGAGGATATATTTCCTAGGAAGTTTTTTGGACAGACTCAGAAACACTGGTGGGTGTCTAGTAAGGTATAAGGTATTTAAGAGAGTAGTGAATATTCTCTGGTGCATCACTTCACAGCATGTCCTGACTGCCCTCACCTGTCAAACGCAGAAGTTTCTGCCACTGCAGCAGAAGCAGCAGGACACAACACCACACGTTTTCACCTCATTACTCCAGTTCATGGTCCAAAATATTAGTTAAGCCAACAATTAAGGTAACTTTGTGTGAAACCCCAGACTGAGAACTGAGAAGCTAATGCACCAGGGGACCTCCTTTTCTGCTGGCTGTGCTATGGAGGGCGATAACATCCAGCAGAAGGAGTGGACAGACTGATAAAGGCAGTAGTATCTTCAAAAGCCACAGCTTAATTATCCAGAAAGCGTCTGCCAGAACATGTGCTCCTGTGGAGCATGTCTTCGGTGCACAAGTAGATGTAATAATTTTCACAGCGTGTCATGATACCAACATTTAGAGAACTCAAAATCACATGGGACCTATTTTCTTCTCCCGTATGACAATAAATGCCATGTTCACTTTCTAGTGTCACTCATAGCTCTATCAGCTGTACAGTTTTCCAATTATCTCCCCCTCTCTGCTGAATCACTGATGTATGGACAAGTGTTTCCCGGCACATGCAGTTCTGTTCTGAGCCCTGCAAACCCCTGTGCATGCAGGGGGCTCTTCGTGAATGGGTGGGGGGGGGCCAGGAGGGAACACGGCAGCAGGGACAGCAGGGCAGGGGTCTCTCCCTCCCCCAGCCCCCAAGGGAGGCCTGCAAGGCAGGTCTTGTGAGGCAACCATTGCAAACCAGCATGTGTCAACTGCGGTTGTAGCACATTCGGGTGGTGTTTGTAGTGCAGTGGACCAGGCTTCTGAGTAAGTGGAAGGGAGAAAACCCAATTTTTTTTAGTACCATAGGCTAGTTTTGCAGCACTGTGTACTAGCAGGAGAGGACCTGATGCAGACATCAAGAATTTGCCCACACTCATCCGTGCACCATTTTAATTCAATCAGTCTGAAATGATATACTTATTTGGTATCAAAGTGGTAGTGTACAGTGGTACCTGATTTGGGGCCATTCTCTTGCCTTGCTTAAATGCACACATACTCCCTAGACAAAGGTACCACCTGTACCAGTTTTGAGTACTTTCCCTCCTTGACTGGTGTACACATTGACGTGGCAGGCCTATGAAGGAATGCCTGTTCTTTCACTGGCTGGTGAAATTATACTTTTGAGAGTAGAGGAATAGAGGTGATGATGGAAGACGTGTAGCAATTCATCCTTACCATCTCTCCCTCAAAAAATTGACTTCATACAGTCAATTTCTGTTTATTGAGATAAAGATGTTGTATAAAAGATTTAGGTAAATTATAACATTTATTCCAAATGAGAAAGAACTTGTGATACCCTATAAGGAAGTTGGGGTCTGATTGTACCCATATATCTCCAAATGCATATCTAACATGTTTTGTCCAGTTTGTGTACACATAAATGATAATAAGTGGTGCAAAGAAGTAGAGATCCATCCCATTCATTTTGTTTTTATAAACCAGCGGCTATGAAAGCCCAACATAGCTTTTTAAGTAGGTGCTAGAAGAGTATGTTATTTTTAAACTTTTGAGTCTCTGTAAATCAAAGCATGTTTTACCTAGAGGTCTCTGTTCCTAAGTAAATGTAAAAAAGTGTTCTTTCTATGGGAAATTACTATTTCCTTTTTTTGTGAACCATTTTGTTAAATTAGGAGAGCCTTGCTAAGAAAGTCCTCATATGATGATAGTGTGTGAAAAATGTGAAATATAATTTAGGGGTTTTTTAAGATGAATGACTTTTTCATTGTTTCATTGCTAATAGCAAATGCATTTCAAAATCAAAGTAACTTGTTAGAATCCACATCTTTACACTGCTACTGAAATTGTGTTTTGATTTCTTTGACATGATCCCTGATTGCTGTGAGAAGAATCAGTTCAGTATTTTTGTTCTTAGATTCCCCCTCCTTTGTCTTGCAGCTACTTGTGGCAGATTCCATTAACAATTGCAGTAGGAAATACGAGCCACATCTCATCAGAGGCAATTATATGGGTGTCTAACAAATCAGGTAAAAATAAACTTTCCTCCCAGTGGAATCTCATAAAGCATACTTGTGTTTTCCTCAACTGTTTCTTTGGAATTGATCTTAGATAATTGTTTAGTTGCTCTGCACCCAGTTTTAGCTACTTGAAATTAATTACATAAAAAAGGAGAGTTGGGAAGGGATGGAGGAAGCATGAAGGATGAGCAGCAAGAAAGATTTATAATTATTGCAGAGGTTAGACAGTATAATGAAAAGCTTCTACATAGAAATGTGTACCTAAGTCCTAAGTATTTTATATTTAGCAACAGATATTAAATCATTGATGAATGCAATTCACTTTATTAATTGGTGAAAGTTAAATGTAATATTTTTATAGAAAAGCATCTGATGAGTATGACTTAGTAAATGCAAAGTATTTAGAATACTGGCATTTTTAACTCCAATCCATAGTCTGAACCAGGGCTAAGAAATGTTTACTGCCATTAAAAAGTTTCCTTATTGATCTATCAAAGTATTTCTTCTCTCTATTAGATAACCAGATGCTGGTCCTCAAAAGTGCATTATTCTGCTTACTACTTATTTTCTTCCTCCTCAATTCCTACATGGTCATAACAGTTACTGTCCTGAGGACAGTTAGGGCTAGATACCAGTGGTTTTTATTGCCTAAGAAAGGAATCCCGCCATAGAAATTTGAAATATTTCTCTGTTTCCTTAGCAGCTCATGCTACATCAGCTGACTGGAGTTGAAGACAGTGAGGAAAGAAATGTGGAGACTTGAATAAAATGATTATATGGAAGGGAAAAGAAGGATCCATGCATCCCCTTGACACATGGGCTTTGGAGGGAGAACTGACCCCTTCCTGTAAAATTAGAAGGGTATAGACATTTGCCCTGATAGAAATTTAACTGGAGAGAGGAAAGAGTCAAACCTGTGTGAGCCTGTGCTTTTTCATTTTTTTCTCTTTTGTAAGTCACTAAAAGATAATAATCACACAGATCTTAGCAGCCGGTAGGAATAGAAATGAATGGTGCACGGTCAGTGGGAAACTGAGTATCACAGCTTTCTAGTGGTATAAGGCATGTGTTTCTTTCCCCTGATCATTTGCAACTTATCAGAATGTAACGTGTTTTATGCTGCTCCTGTGATACAATGATCTAGAAATTCACCTGGATCCAAGGAATTTTCATACCTGGGAAACATGCTCTAGTCAGAGTATACAGATCCTGCCTCATTTTGCAGAAAGATATTGCATTGGCCAAACTTTTAGTATCAACACCTCCAGAATACTTCCAAACTTGTTTGCACTTTCACAGTCTGCCATAATGACTTGCTCTACCTTTGTCCTTTAGGGCTTGATTGAACTCTCATTGAAGTTAATAGAAAGATTCCCACTGACTTCAGAGAGAGTTGATCATTTCATCTCATCTCATCCCAATAGGTTGTACATGCATGCCTCCTTCCCTTCACTCCTGCCTTGAAAGTTCAGTATATCACTATTACCTGCACAGTTGCTTCTTCATTGCCTTTTACTTGCAGAGTGCTGTGGAGGAACAAGTCCATAAAACCACTACCCCACTCTTTTAAGATCTACTGCTCCTATTGGAATGCCTTCAAGAAATCAACAAATTAATGATGGCCAGTGTGAGCAATGATTTTGGGGTGGCTGCTATATAGAAATTAAAGAGGAGCATTTCTGAGTCATCAGTTTCCTGTACAGCGAATCAATGCCACTGTGATCTATTGTCATTATCCTTGTCCTTCCTCATTATTTTCTTATTCAGTCACTCACTTGCTGTGCCTCATCGAAAATGAGACTGTTAACTTACAACTACAGCAAGGATGTCCTCTTGCTTCCACTTACTGTTGTCTAGCTCAGCTGGAGAATTCCTCAACATAAAAAAGTCAGTAAGACCATCCCTGGATGTACTCAATGTATGATTCATTGTACATACTGTTATGTATTGGGGCTGGTGTAGATGATTTTGTGATACTCTTGGAGATTTTCTGCAGCTGGTATGTTTGTTTCATGGGGATGTGGGAGGGATTCTGAGACTGGAAAGGATATTTCCAGGATTGATTGTTGTGGACAGGAAGAATCCTGAAGACTTTCTGTTGTGCAGAGGACACAGTTTCAAGTGTTGTCCCAGTGAGTAGTCTGGGAACAACTCCGCAAGCTGGAGGTGAAACAAACTACTCCAGAGGATATTTGGAAGATTGGAAGTGGTCACATTGTTCTTCAAGTGAATGTAATGGAATGCAGATACTCAAATCAGATTTGGAGGAAATGCTGTTCGTGAGGATGGTTTCCATACCCTCTTTAGGAAGGAGCAGGCATCTCCTTTGTGTTGGCTAAACTGCAGTGCTAAAGAAGCTTCCAGTATAACCTGAAGAGTGGATAGGAGATGCTGAACAGCTGTCTGTTGTGTAATGCTGATCACATACCTCATTTCAGCTGCCAGTGATGAAAAGGGTCCAAGTTAATGACTACCATTATGATATCTTGACATACCACTTAAATTTTTCAATAAAATTAACCTTGTCTGTGTGTTATCTAGGAGAAATGAAGCCACGGCAGTTTTGAGATAGCTACGTATAGTACCATCAAGAAATATTCCTTTTTTGTGGAAGTTTGAATAACAATTTCCCAGGGTAGTACATCCCCTGCCTTGCACTAGAGTTCACCAGGGATGTTTATTTGCTGATGGAGAAGTCTCTTCCTTCATGTACATCCAGAAGGACAAAAGAGAATTACTGATTTTTGCATCCTCTCTGCTACTGTGTTTGTGACCTCATCCAGGTATTGTAGGATTTTCATTGGCATCTTCATGAGCACAGGATAAAAGGCTGCTGTCCAGTCTTGTGAGAGCCACTGAATGTAGGATGTTTGGGTTGTTCTTCTCTACTCATCCTGGCCATGTCTGGTTACCTACTAGACCTAGTAAGGTATTGAGATCACTGATTGTTCAATATACTGATCAGGATTAGTTCAGATAATTGCAGCTCATCCCAGCTGCTGGCAACAGAGCTCATTCTGTCCACTCTTCACAACACCAAGGTGAAAAGACACACTGGAAATCAGAACTGTGCAGTGTCTTTTTGAAATGTAATTCACTGTCCCTTTCAACAAATCCTGTAGAGGGGACAGTGCCCGGCCTTGGTAACTTGTCTGGTGAAGTGCATAATCTCTAAGATGTTTCATATTCGCCTGTTTGAGGGAAGTGTGTAGTCATAGTTTTGGAAGGTTTTAATTTTGCAAGTGCTTCTGCCAATCTCTCTTCTCCTTAGTGAGCATTTACATAACCATTTTTCTACTCATCAGTTCATATACCAACCATCAGATGACCATTCTACTGGCTCAGTTTGTCTGGGCATGTGAAATGGAGCTGTCTCTTTTGCTCTCAGTACTGCACAGATATGTCACCAACACCTTTTTTCCTGTTCACTCCCCATAGCCATGGATGAGGCCATTCTGCTTCAGGTGAGTGATAGCTGTTAAACCTCTGAAAACTGAACCAGTCACAAAGAAGACATGATCAGCCTTCCTATCCATGCTGAGGTCAGAGACATCACACTAAGGTGGCTGCAGTGCTTTTTGTGCTACCGTCTTGCAGGTCTGCTGAATGATAGATTTCAGTGGTTCTGTGGAAGTCATTGATCCAAGGCCTGTTTCTGGTTTTCCTAGATAAGCTGCCTGTTTTGTGGTCACTGTAATGATGTACGAATATAATGTCCACAGTGTTTTGGGATCAGCCCAAAATCAGCAGTGAGTAAAAAGTCAAGGACCAGATTTGAACTCAGGCCAACCCCACAAGGTGACTGCTTATCAGGGCTTGTAAGAAGGTGTTGGTGATTGCTACTGAAGGCATACTGAGTGTGGAAGCACAGGCTCACCTGCCGTGTTTCTGCAAATCCAGAAGTGACCTTAACTGCAAGTGAGAAGGTTTATCTAGCTAGCATTTCAAAGAGGTGAGCAAGGCTTTGGACAAAGGCATACTTGCTGTTCCCTGGGTATGATTGTTCTGGTGCTCAGGCTCCAAGTGCGACCCGGCGTCCATCTCCGTGTGACTCAGCAAGTGCTGCTGAACTGACTGATGCAGCTTTACAGTCTGTGTCCCTGCCCTTTCCATCCCCACCTCCTGTACCTGGACTGATTTGTAATGTCCCAGGGAAATGCTCTTCTGGTGGACCTTCCTGCCTCTGGTAAAGTGACTCTCATTCAGACTCCTCTTCGTATTTCTACAAGATTGCAATGAGATGTGGGAAAGGAAGTTCAGTGGGGCAACTGCCTTCCAAACAGGAAGTTCTGATTTACTATATTATGCCACCTGCTACTAGATAATCTCTATTTTAACTGTAAACCCCTTGACAGCCTGATTCTCCTCCACAAAGTATTTTGTAGAAGACTGCTGCTTCTGAAGTGGGATTTGCTGGCTGCCCACTAGGGCAGCAATAGTGCAGCATTAGAAAAATACTGTTTCTTTTCCTTTCTAAGACTCAGCTGCTGAGCATGAGCCATGTTACTTCCAGACTTCGCTCTTCTGTCTTTCAAAAGTGGGAGAAAGGAAAGTACTGTGAAGTAAAATAAATACATAGGTCCTGCTTTACAACTTTAGCCATCCATAGTGAGGACCAGGGATGCAAGGCTTGCAATCTTGGGATGATTTTGGGAGAGTGGACAGAATCAATCCCCTTATCCCAACAGCTGAGCAAAGATCCTAACAGAAGACTGCTGCTTACATTGTGTATCACCTTAGACGTTAGCAGTTCCATCATACAGGAATATTAATGGATGGACAGATAGTCTGAGGAGAGTATGAGAGACAGAACATGATCATATTTACTAATGGGCTCCATTTATTGTGTTGTTCACTATAACAAAAATTTTTTTCCAACATGAAGCTATGGCAACATGGCAAGTGAGATGGAAATAACTTCTTCTGGTTTGCCTTCTCCCCATATGAAAAGTTCTTGCAAAAGAATCTGCAGAATGTAGTTAAAGTCATTATCTCTTCACAAAATACTGTGATTGTGATGAAATTCCTCATAGAACACTTTCTTTGTCAGAAAAATTTCACTTGCTCTTGTTGTCATGAAACTGTGCTACTCTTGTGCAGCTATTTTTGCAGGAAAATGGAGTCAGTTCTCCCAGTAGGGATTCTACCAGCATAAACCAGTTTCCTAGTATGCTAGTGGTTGTATAAAATGAAGAGTTAAAATAACAACTGTGAGTCTGAACACTTGAAATGGTAGTAGAGCTGTTTAGCCCACGCTCTTGTCAGCATTGGAGTAGTGTCTTGCAGAGGGATGCCCTTTGCCCAGACCTGCCTCACAAGGAGCTCATGTTGCCATGCGGGCGAACAGGCTTCCATCATTCCTGCTGGTTTTGATGGAGCTGAAGTTTCTCGAGAGCTGGGAATGCTCAGAACTTCAAGCCACATGCAGTTAGCACCAGCTGGAGGACTGTCTCACACTTCCAGAGCAGAGAAAGTGAGAATCAGACCCTGATTCCCTTACTTCAGAACAAATGTCATTAAATTTAACCATTTCCTCCTAAATATCTCCTATATGTATGTGGCAAAACTGGAAGTTTCAGAGCAGTGTTAATTTCTGAGGCATCCAGGTAAAACATGACCATGGAAAAACACTTTCTGATGGAAGAAGATTGAAAAACTTTCCTTTAATCTCAAATACAACTGTATATATATTTTAGATTGAATTTTAAGAGGTGAACTAAAACCATCAAAGATAGATTTCTTCCCGGATTAAATCTTTGTTGTTGTTTAGAAAGTCATGGATGGTTTAATACAGGGTTTAACACTGAAGGACTACCTTTTCCCTAATTATAATATTTTTAACAGGACACTAATAAATGTGTTTATGGTAAGTGGAGAAATTGCCCAGGTACATAGAAATTTTCAGTGCTGTAATCACCTAAAGAAAGAATTTCTTTTATAGGAAAGCAAGAGAATCGACAGACTCAAACATCAAATTCCAGTAAATTATATAGAACTATGTGAAGCGCATGCATCAGGCAGTCCCTTAAAATAACCACCTGCTTATATGAGCTGGAAAGGCATGAAAGATTCTTGTCCTGTATTTCAGGAGAAGGTCAACACATGAGTGGTCTTATTGAAAAATAATAGCGAGGGGTTATGGTTGGATTTAAACTGACCAAAACAGCAATAATGCCATTGAGCTCTGAAGAGATACTGTTCTCCATTAAAACAATATGTGCTGGAGGTGTTGCACAGCTGTTACTTGTGAAATAGGTTGTTTTGAATTTGTCATACTTGACTGGCAAGTATCATTCAGTACTCTGTTAAAGCATAAGTAATGTCCTCAATTCGGAGACCAAAATTTAATATAAATACTCGAACAAGAAAAACTGTATGTAGTTTTTTTTATTACATCTGATTTTGAAAATTTCAATTTAATGTATTTATTTACCCAGATATTGATTAATGTGTGCTCATAGTCCATATGCTTTTAGGTACCAAAGAGGTGCAGGGATTAAATAGTTACAAGTAGCTACTTTTGAGGATAGCAGCATTTAAAGATTAGTCTGCAACAGAAAAGCATGGGCAGAAAGCAGTACTGAGTTCAGGTGGTAGGATTTTCTGCCAAGTGTGAGCAGCCTGCTCCTGACCCCACATGGCAGTACGCCCCTGACAACCAAGAGAAACTCTAAAAGTTGTCGTTTCCCTCAGCAGTCTCCCCTAGATATATAAGTGGGTATTTTTGCCATTGCTCTTAAGAAAATCACTAGGTTGGTAAGGAACATAGCTGAGATTTAGGGGTGACAGGCTGTATTCACAGCATCATAGTAGGTAAACTAAATAGGATGTGGTAGATCCAGATTGAAATTCCTTCTCTCTGTTTTACAGCAGGTATTTTATCCAAATTTGTTCTAAGAAAGTGCCTTTATCACTATGCTATAAATTGTTATGATCTTTTACAGTATTTCTTCAGTAATGTTTTTCTTTGTATAAGATTCAGTGATTTACACAGGAACCAGAATTCAAGTCTTCTATAAATAGGATTGGAGCAACTGGGTGATTCTGACTTCGGGTCCAGTGGAAAAAGGATCTAAACAGAGGAACACCATCAGTATAGCAGTCTAACAGAGTTTGCTTAGGACTGAACTATATATCCCAGTGTTTAACAGACCCCTGTGGAAGGAAGGAAACCCAGTGTTGAAACCTTATTCCAAATTAGATTCCATGGCAAAAGCTGCTTAGGTGCTTTGACAGTATGAATGCCTGAGAAGCCCACAGAGTTGTAGGACCTAATTCTGGCTTTCTCACTTAGTGCCATTTCTGCAGGATACGTTGGCCCCTAAAGAATGTATCTGCTTTGTGCTTTATCACTGATAAGTAAATGGATATAATCAATATTTTAACTAAACCCAAGGGTCTGTATTTTTTTGTTTTCAGTTGTTTATGTAGAATAATTAAATTGAACTAGTGCAAGTCAGTTAGACAAACCCTAAAAGAGCAATAACAGTTGAATTGAATAGGCAACAACTGAGTTATTCTGGCCTTAATATTTCTAAGAAGTGTTTTTTTAAGAAATTTTAATGATGTCAGAACTACCTAGGTGAGAAGAGGACTTTCTTTTTTAGTCTTGCAGCTTTTTATCTGAATTCATGTGCATAATGCAAAACCATTAATTTAAAGTTAAACATATAATTAGCTGTTTTTAGGATTCGGGTCTTGCTGCTCCTTGTATTCTTTGCACTCTTAAAATGATAGTTATTTGTGTGTTTGCTAGAGATATTTAGTCAAGGGAGAGGCATAACTTTTATTTGCTGTCCTAGTCATCTATTATTTCCTCAGAAATTACTTTTTTATGAGAAAGGCTGAAACAAATCAATTTGTTTGGTAAGTCTAGGTACTAGATACTATATGTGAATTGTTAAGATTGTATTGTTAACTTTTTTTCCCATTTTTTACTTTCAGGGAATTCAAGCATACCAGACAATTCCCTGATGGAATTACGTTTAAAAGAAATCTTATGTATTTCTTTTTTATTTTTAAAAATGCATGAGAAGACTGTTCCTTTTGTCAACAGTGTACAAACTAATTGTATTATAGTAGAAAAAAATGTTTCTGAATTTTCAGTGAGTTCTGGTTCATGATCCGTTTTGTCAGAATAATTTACTAGATGGAAGGCTTCTTCAAGAGACATTGAAGCCTGAGGCTTCATTCCATGATGATTCTTTCCATACTGAAAGAAGTGTGTGTTATGAGTTCAGGGGCATTTTTGTTGTTGAAATCCCTAGTCCTGCAAATAGTTGGGGACTGCCTGACTGTTCAAATACTGGAATAAATGTAGACTTTCAGCCTCAAAGTGATTACTTAAAAAGAGGGGAAGGAGGAAGAATGGGTTAGTTGTTACAAGGTTAATTGGTCTAGCTCTAAAGGGGAGACCCTCAGTGGTTAGTAGCTAGAAGCTGTGCAACTGGAAATACTTTAATTTAAAATCCAATATGAAAGCTTCATTGACTACATGCAGAAACACTTAAGAATTCATTTGTTTTAATCACAGGTTTAGTCTTCTCTCTATAGCACATCCATTGAATTGTTTGAGTTATGCTTGTAGAAAGCTATTTTAGCATGTCCAGAATCAGGGTAGCAGACTTAAAATGGGCACATCTCATCCAAATACTGTTTGCCAGAATAAAAACACCCTTGGAGTTCTGTGTGGGTAAAAGTTCTCTGTAGGAATGTCAGATGGTGTCTCTCTACATCAGAACAGATAAAGAAAATTCTTAATCAAACACAATGTTTTTGTCAGTCTTTGAATTAAGTTTACTGCCTTCATGGCTATTTAAAGAAGGAGAGAATTTAACAGATATGTCTTTAGAATTTTTAAATTTAAAACCAAGTCACCTTCCCATCTTGTTCATTGTTTCCAGAACGTCACAGAATTCCTACTTTGGAAGAGGCAAGTTGGTTGCTGGGGAACATCAACCAGACTGGCTACTTTAGAGTTAATTATGATATTAGGAATTGGAGGCTGCTAATTAATCAGCTAACAAGGAACCATGAGGTAAGCTCCTCTTCTCATCCCTAAAATCTGCTTTGATAGGTGAACCTTCACTGTTTCATCACCCTAAATGGTTCAATTTTTGTGCTTGCTCCTCACAGGTTATCTCTGTCAGTAATCGAGCAGGCTTGATCGATGATGCATTCAATCTAGCCAGGTATGTTTTTCTGAAGATAATCTATCCTCATACACATTGCTGCAATAACTCATGCAATCATTAACTCAGCAGTTGAGTGTGTTTCAAAGTTAAATATGTTTTAAACACACTTTAGTTCTTTTTCCCTCCCTTTTTTTTTTTTTTGTATGTGGTACATAAACATGGTCTGTAGCACATTCACTGCTTTTGATCAATATTTGCCGCAGGGTATTTCCGAGTCTGGAGAGGTCTGATCAATTTTGCAGCAAGTTCAATTTAACACTTTGGAGATAAATAATATCTTTCCTCTTTCTCTAATGAATGAGGTTTTTTATTTCTGTTTCTCCTTAATGCCCCACCACTCCTTCTTTTATAACTGACCCTTGTGCTGTATTTAATTTGTGATGAAAGACACCTTCAAGCTTCAGTTATTTTTTTTTGCCCTGACTTGTACTGTTATATCATTTTTCCAATATCTTTCTTTTCTTGTAATCTGTTAGAAATTACTTTTTCTGCATGATGCTTTTAATGCAGAGTGAAAAATCAGAGTTCCATTGAGCATTTCTGGAATTTTTACAACATTTTGGGTTTTACTATGATCAGGGTTCATAATTAGCACATATAGTGCTGCTTAGGTAATGCCTTCTTTATGAATTGAGGCAATGGAATTGTCCCCATTGTAAAATCAGGACATCCAATGTGTTGGTAGTGAAAGTGTAAAATGAGAGTAAAGTAGTGGAACATTTGGAACTTTTTGATTCTTGAGGTACATAGGAACACTGCATCAGTAAAACACTGTGATGTCAAAGGCAGCGTGAAAAGAATTCCTGATACTACTGGCTTTTCTGTTTGATAGTGTATTTATAGCCATATTTGAGCAGGGGCTTGCAGGAATCGGCAGTACTGAGGTACATTTCACTACAAACGGTCACCGGAGATGTTTGAGATTCAAGCACAGTGTCACACAGAAATTATGACTCAGTGATGTTCCAGCATCACTGCAGTAAAACACAGTTGTGTGCCCTACCACTCTGTTCCTGTTGCCAGTGCTAGACTGAATATATGACATGAACTAGTGATTAGCCCTTGCTTAACAGTCCAGAGATGTAGTAGGGAAGGAGGCATCACAGGGAGGGAAGAGGTACCCATTTGCTTTTTGCACAGCCCTTGATTCTTGCCTTGTGGCATCTTCCCATTGGCAACAGTAAAGGACTAGAAATAGGTCATCGCTTCAGACTTCAGTGGACTGTGATTTCTCTACTCTCTGGCTAGTACAATACTGCAGAGTATTCTGAAATATCTAAACTATTAGAAGAACTACTAAATGTTCAGTAATGTAACAGCCTGTTGCAATTTTATTTGATTTTGGCACCTCAGGAGGTAACGTGCAGTTACACAAAATCAGTGTGGTGCTTTCTTCTCTTTCCATGCACTGAATGTAGCCAGATGTGGCTAGACGTCCCTGAAAATTTAGACACTATAAAAAATGCTATTTCTTAAGATGATTCTTGTAGGTGAGTGTTTTTATTCTGAGTCAGTACTGAGCCAATACACAATGATGTCTTGTTAATGAAGCGTAAAGGCAAGGTCTTGATTAAAGGCCCAACCTGCATTGTTGGCCAAGTTTTGTCTACCTAAAATGCACCGAGAAATTAGATGAGTAAAGCATTCCCTCTTGCTTTCCAAAACAGTTTTGTGGTGATACTGGATCCTGCTGTTTTTTTTTTGAGGTAACTATGCCAGAGTGCTCTGAAGTCTTTCACAAGATTTCACATTGTAAATACTTGACTTTCTTTTGTTAACGATGAGCTGCAGATGACACTGCTGGGTTAGCTATACATGCACTGCAGAGAAAGGTAGTAGAGCTAAATATTTATAGTGTATACACATGTGCATACATAGATACTACTTATGAAGAAATATTCTTCCATCAGGGATATGTAGCTAGATTCCTGTTTCTTTAAAATTTCTGCACAGACTCCTGTCAGTAGGATTACCTTGAGTACGTACCTTACAAGCCAGTCTGGGTGGAGGAAAGGTCTTCATATTTGCAAACAGGAGATTTATGCTCTGTATTTCAAGAGCAGTGATAAGATATGTGGACCTGGCTAAACTTGCCATATAGGGTATATTTTTTGTTGATCTTTTTTTTTATTTTATTCTTCTGTCATCTTTCCTATTAGAAAAGCCACTGAACAATGATAGTGATGTTGAAGTTAATCAAAATGGCTAGCTGACTATATGGTACCTATTTAAGAAGAGTTTGGTATTTTGGTATTTTTTGTTTTCATTTCCCCTTTCCCAGACAAAGAAAGAGCAGAAATAGGCCTAATCCTTGCTCTGTTCATTTATCATGAGTAAGACTAGAGAGGCATTGAGAGACTGTGAGGAGTGTGTCGGGGGTGGGCCTTGATGGCAGAGCACCTGAACTTCTGGGAGTATGGAAGCAGGTGGAAGAGCTCTTCCTGGGAGAAGCAATGGGGAGTCGCACGTGGATGCTGCAGTGCGGCACAGCTGCCCCTGCTGTGTCGGGTGCTGCAGCGTGACACAACAGTGTTCCTAAAACGAGCTCTGAGGGCTATCCAAATCCCACAGACCCTTCCAACTTCCTCAAAACCTCAAGTGTTCAGAAGGCCACCCGTAACCTAAAAGCAGCTTAGCTTTCCCTGCCTTGGCTGCGAGGTGCGGTGCAGAAAGTCGCTTCGCTTTATTTTGGAGCAGTACCCTGGTTTGGATGTTACCTGCCTTGTGGATGCAGTGCTGATTCAGTATCGTCTCCGATGCACAGTGTGTGTTTATCCCTGCCTGTCTAATGTTATGTGATGGGGAGATTAAACGCATAGGATTGTCTCTGACTGTGACATGAGAAAAGGTGAGTAACCTTATTGACCAGGCATAGAGTCCGTAATTGGTAGTTTAGACCTGGCTTCAGAGAACACTGTCTGTTTTTAATTCAGTCCTCAGTTGTGGTCCCTAGATGCACTGATGTGTTATCTTCTTGTCTACAACTATAAACATACACATTTTGAGAGAGAGAAGAGATCCGTGGAATACATACTTTTATTTTAATCCCTAGCTATTATTTTCAGTGATAAAATAATGCAAAAATTAAAACATAACTTCTTAAATTCATGCTGGTCCTTTTTAAAATAATTTCTAACATAAACAGTTATTTTTTACTGTACAGAAGAGACTGTATTTCTTCTAAATGCCCCATCCTTCTAAGAAATTTATGAAGTACTCCCTAGTGTGTTGTTGAACTTGATACGGTAATATCCATTCCACATCAGAAGAGTTTGACTCAATTTTTCCACTGTGTCCTAATATGGTATGTCCTAATATGATATTGCTGTGTAGTTTTACTGTTAATTGATTTTGTGGAACAAGTACAGGTCTTTAGTGAAATTTAATAATATTTAGATCTGGAGAAAGATGAAAAATTTGCTCATATAAATTATTTTGGAGCACTGTTTTTTTTTTTTTTTTTTTTTTTTTTAAAAAAAAGGTGTGTTTGATTTAATTCCTCCAAAACATTTCTTATTCTTTTACTGTCCAGCCTAATGATATCTCAAAAATAAGCAACATAAATGAATTGATATCTCCAAGGAATATTTTAAGCTCTATAACAATAATTTCATGAAGTTTTGCCCATTTTATATAGAAATATATTCCTTCTTCTTCCTTCTTGGTATATTTTGGTTCCATAAAATTAATCAAGCAGTATTGAATTGAATAATAACAGTAAAAGAAAGCTATAGCTTGCCCACTGTGTTTGAATTCTCACAAGCTTGCTTGTTTTTTAAATTTTTAAGCATAATTCTGTTCTCAGCTGTAGTACATGCACACACCCTGAGGATCTGGAGTGCCATAGCCTTGGCAGTAATGTAGCTCATAGAAATACATGCCCCAGATTCTTGATCAAGAATAGCACCTTGTCACTCTCTGTTCCCTTCTTCTTGAAGATCATTTATCTTTTGGGGATGTTTTGTATGAAACTTCTGTACAATTTGAAAATGTGTTGATTGTAGTAAATGGAATGTGTTGACTGAAAAAGCCCAGAGAAGACAAATAGAACTGTGGTTCTATTCTGAACTTAAACTGAGCAGAGGGCAGTTCAGATAGCTCCAATCAGAAGTGTCACAGGAAATAATAAAGATACTACTGTTTCTTGAGAGTGTGAATAATGTCGTCAACTTCTACCTTTCTCTTTCCTTAAGATAAGGGGCCAGTTAGTGATTATGTGGGGTGGGATGCCTCCCATTTTACTTCAGGCATTCCAAAGGTACACCTGTAAATCTGAGCTTGTCACCTTGCAGTGCACTGACAGCTAATGGAAGGAAGAGTGCACCTGACCTCTCAAAGCCACTTAACCACATAGGATAAGATAAATTACCCTCCTAATGTCGGGAGTGTTGTGTCACCTCTAGTTCTTCCTTGATGGGATCTAAATCTTCATATTCACTTCGCCTCATTAAACTGGTTGACTTAATCCAATATTATGTCAAAGAAATAGGTCTGGTTTGCATGCAAGTTGCTCAGGAAACCATTTTTTTTGATGCTGACAATCTGTCTTGCTATCAATTAATATCTTGTCTTCTGTTCTGTGGTTGAAGATATAGTGGTGGAGTTCCTTGGATTTCAAATTTTCCTGATGGTTACATTTTAGGTGGGTCATAGGCCTAGTGACAGTGCAGTGCATGTCAAGACTACACTCATTGGTAACATGTTAACAAAGGCCAAAGATAAAACTGGACAGTAATTTTTGCATATTTCTTAGCAGCATTTCTTTGACATTTAGTAGAAGCTTTTTCTTAACTGGATTAATGAGAAAGCCTGAGATGATGTTGTTACATAATTGTTCTGCTCCAGGAATGGATAGCCATGTTGGAGTGCTGTCCATTTCCTTTCACAGATTAGTGGGAGAGTGACCTATAGTCTCTTCAGATGAAGGTTTTTTTAGGCCAGAAAAGACTACCCCTCTAGACTTCACAAGTATAGTGAACTGTATGAGAAATGAGCAA